TCTTACCTAGCTTCCCCTAAAGTTTATATCTTTCATAAGTACAATTATTGAAATTAGGAAATTAACATTCATATAGAATATTAACTAATCTACAAACCTTATTTGAATTTTGCCAGTTGTTCCACTAATGTCCTTCTTCTGGTATAAAATCCAGTCCATTATCCCATGATGCATTTAGTCATCATGTCTCCATAGTCTTCTTCACCCTGTGGTAAAACTTAAGTCTGTTTTTCTCTTTCATGACCTTGACACTTTTGAAGAGTTCTGGCCAGTTATTTTATTAAATGTCCCTCCATTTGAGTTTGCCCTGTGTTTTCTAATGATCAAAATGAGTTGATTTGATTTTGGGAAGAATACTACAGAAATGAAGTTGTGTCTTTCTCAGTGCATGATATCAATGTTAATATCATTTTATTGATGTTAATCTTGGGCCAGAGCTATCATTATAGATATTATTTACAAAGCATTAGATCATTGATTTGAAAGGTTAGAGAGGATCTATTTCACGCTGTTGAAGTGTTTTTTCCTTATTTTAAAAGCTATTTTCCTTGTAATTATAATAAACATGTTTGTGGCACCTCCCATCCATAGCTCTTTGACTGGATGGGCTCTGTATCTACCAAAGGGACACAGCCCCTGGGCCACACCTGATTAACCTGTGGGTGGATCGTTAACCTGAACGGAGCCATCACATTGACTGGCCAAATGAAGTATAATAACTTGGGTCTATTTTGAAGAAAATGAACTGGGCCAATGAATTCTTTCAGGGGATGGGATATAGAATTGGGGAACTAAGAGCTCGAAGTAGTGATAGCAGTGCTTGAGGTAAAAAGTAGCATAGAGCCAGGTATGGGGTGAGCATTCCAGGACACACGTAAGATGAACAAGTAGAAGTAGACTATCAGTGGAAGAGAAGGAAAGATATACACAGAAGGAAAAGGAACTGAGGGAAAGAGACACAGACACACCAACATAAAGGACTTACTGTAGTTTCAAAAGACAGACAATGAGAGAGAGACAAAGAGAGCCTTATGAGATACCTTGAGATATGGTATGCTAGGTTCCTTATAGCTTTCCAAGATTTGGGCCCCATTTTCATGAGAAATACAGTCTTTGCAGCCGGGTGCAGTGGTGATTGCCTATAGTCCCAGCTACTCAGGAGACTGAGGCAGAAAGACTGCTTCAGCCCAGGAGCTCCAGGACAGCCTGGGCAACTTAGAAAGACCTCATCTCTTAAGGAAAAAAAGAAAGAAATACTGCCTTTGGAATTTTACAAGTTTCCCATTTGCAGCCTAAAAACTGATTTTTGTGAGCTAGCATAAAGGGGTCTCAGTTTTCTGTAATGAAAATGTACCTAACTAAAAAAGAAATAAATAAAATGATATCTGGAAAGCGTAATTAAATTAAAAAAAAATAGCATGATGACTGTGATAGAATCCAGGCAGAGCTAGGTGCCCATTTAATCTTTTGATTTTATTCCAGTTTTATAAAGCTAATATGACTGACTACAGATTAATCTAGACTTTTGCACAGACTTTTGCAGTGTAGGAATATCTAATCACTCAGTTTGCTCCATGGTCCCATGGCCTGAAGAAAATCTCAATTAAAGCAGTTCTTATGCAGCATTAACCTTGCTGATCTCAAGTGTTTATTTTTCCCGGTTGCATAGTGTATGTTATTCTTTCATCAGTGTGACCTTAATCATCTGCAGATTCGTTAGCTATTGTTGAATACAGTATTCTAAATAACCTAGGACCCAAGAGCTCCAAGCTACATGCTTGCCTGATTGGGCAAATAGCACACTATTGAAATTCTTTTTTTCATTTGTTAGCTTAATTTAAAGAAGAAGTGATTGGTTTTGTAAAGCTACTTCAAATCTCAATAGCTTATTTTTTACAGAGAAAGATAATTTTTAACTTTCTTAACTTTTCGCCATCTATGTACTCTTCAGTTTATAATGTTAAGAAGTTTATTTTATGATTCCCTTTTAATGAGTGAAGAAAAACTTGTGAACATTGTGGGGTTTTATTAGCATTCTAGCCTAGATCTTTCTTTTTACTTTACAAAGAAAGTCTCTTTAAAGGGAACATACACAAACACACATGTGCACATGCACCAACACATATACACACATATATACCACATATATGCATTCATATATACACATACACACACACCTTTTTTAACATTGCTTGTAGATTTTTACACTCGGTCTGACATGATGAAGCAATGCTATAATACAAATAAAGCAATATATGTATCTATTATTGGTTCCTTATAATATCCTTCCATTAATCCTTTGAAATATTTAAAATGAAATGAATGACAGCTCTTTGTAACAGAAAGTTAGAGCTATAGTGTATCATTTTGTCTCAAAGTGTGAGTAGAGGACTACGGACAGTTGATCTGAAAATACAAGTGTTTTCAATATATAATTTTGTTTCAACATAAATTAATAGTTTAATATGAATATGGAAATATGAAACAAGCAAGCAAACAAAATATATTCGTATCTTATGATAAGCAAAGCAGATTCCCCTGAAAGTCCAAAGGCTTCATGATGGCAAGTGGGAAAGTATGTAATAAATTTTTCCCAGGACCTTTGGCTTTGTAAATCTGACAAAGATAAAGAATCAATGAACTCTGTACTTCTGGGATACATTGCTTAGAATGAGTAATTTATTCACAAAAGAGTCAAAGATGAGGAATAAGTAAAGGAATAGTTTATATTATAAAAGATAATTTTAAAAATTTGACCATGAAATACTTCCATATGACATTAGCATTAAGAAGTAGGACTGTATCTGTAAGTTATCTATGCTAGGCTTTTACTCTTTATGTTATTGAACATGATTGTTTTCTGTGTTTTATAGTTGTGAGATGATATTAAACCCATCATAAATATGTATCCATGTATTGAGCCATATGAATAACAAATAACCATAATACTAATTGCTATCTTCCATATATTCTTTTACTTTAGCTGTTTGTAAAAGGTACTCAGTAGATACTTGACTGCTTTTTAATAGCCAACTTCTCCAATAGCTTGGGGGATTTAGTGAAAACCACCTGGATAGTTATTCTCCTTAATCTAAACTAAGTGGTGTTTATGCTGTGTTAAGCAGAGTTTCTGAATTGATATCTAAATTGGTTAAGATTATTGGAACCGGAGTACAGGGATTTTCAATACTGAGTTGTTAGGATAAAATGAGTTAGTACATGGAAAGTCTATCAGTACTTGAACCACAGTCAATACTCAGTAAAGGTTTGCTCTTATTGTCATTCTCAGAGAAAGATTTCTTAAGGTGTTCTACAATTTGGTACTATAAGTTTATTAAAGTGTTTCTGTTAGTATGAATCATGTGTGTTTGGCTGCAGAATTATTCATGTGTTCTATTATGGAGTGCTTCCCCAGCTCTGCTTAGAGTGTTATGGAAAAGAAGGCATTTGTATCCTGTTAACTTTCTAAAATTGGAAAAATTCTAAATTCTAAAACCTATGTGTCCCTAAAAGATTTGGATGAGAAATTGTGGGTCTGTATATAATTTAATGGCACAAAGGAACAAAATCCCTCATATATTCCTAGTGAGATTATAAATTGGTACTCTTTTGTGAGTGGGAAGGTGGTAATCTGGCAACATATATCAAAACCCATAAAAGGATTTATGCCCTTTAATCCAAAATTCTATAACTAGGAATTTGTCATTACTAAATTATTAGAAGATGATAAAAGATTTAGGCTTTAGTAGGTCCAGTGCAGATAATACACAGATAATAATACAGGTAACATCTGAAAAGCCCCAAATGTTCAGTAATAGAAGGTGGTGGAATTACACAGCCTCTGGCCATACCACGAACTACTACTGTATCACCTTAAAAGTGATATTGTACAATAACACTCATTCACATTGAAAGATGTCCTTGATATTTGGTTTAGTGGAAGTATCAGGCTATAAAAATAATATGTACCATATGATGTAATTTCTTTAAAATTATTTGTTATTAATATACATAGAAAACTATTTTGAGGGGTATTCACTGTTAACAGTGGTTATCTCTGGATGACAGGATTGCAGATAATTCTGATTTTCTTCTTATAGCTGTGCTTTGTCTACAGTGACATGTTACTATTATAATAAAACTTTTTTTCACTTAAACATAGTATTTAAACATGTCAATATATCTTGTTTCAAATTCTATATACTTAAAATTAATATCTATCAAAATATAATGTTCATATTTGTGGGAGTTAATAATTATAAATACTCATTGTATTTGGAAAACAGTATTATAAAGCAAAGTCTAGTTTTCAAACAGTATGTGTTTGCCTATTGTAGCATTTATAGTATTGTTGATATTTTAAGTGTGTGTGTATTAAACTTAGCCACGGAGAATTATAAATATAAACTATATTGTCAAGGAAAGTATGTTCACAATTTTAGCCTTTATTTTCAAAATAAGCCCAGAGAGTATATTGGCAGCATTTAAATTCCGACCCATGTGGGGTTGACAGCAAGCTATCTCAAATAGTGGGGTATCAATTGAGAATTTATGATGTCTTTGTTTCAGTCCTCAGAACAATTTGCTATCCTCAGAAATGTATTTTGAAAATATGATCTTTATCCTGAAATACTCCTTTAACAATACAAATAAATAAGAGAACCGTATGCACTTTCAGGAAAGTGATTTGCCTTCTTTATTACACTAAATGGTGATAACATGATGATGCGCCATCCTACTGCTTGGCATGGGATAAATGGCTAGACCCAGCAGCATATCTGCAGAGAAGAGAGCTCTGTGTTTTAACTGCCAATTTTCAAGTCATTGCTTCTTATAGTTTCTACAATATGTGTCTGAAATTTGGTGCTGACTCTGAATGCTTTATTCCACTTTGGTAGACCATTTCTGCAATCCATGAACAATTAAATTATATTACTTTTTATTAGAAATTGTGATATCTGTTCTTTATTTACTGATAGAAATAACTCTTTATTTTTCAGAGCTTCCATATGGCTGGGAAAAAATCGATGATCCCATTTATGGCACTTATTATGTTGAGTAAGTCTCTAAGTGTGATATTAACTTGTTATTAATATGTTGTGAAATTATGTTAGTATTTCATTTATTGAGCATGTGTGGCTAACAGCCCCTTTATTTCCCTTTCATCTTACTTTGAAGTATCCACAAAGACTGTAGCAGCACTAGCTGGCTGTCTCCTGCTTCTCCAGCTGGCTAATTTGTCATTGCTTTCCTTTGACTCATGATTCTAAAACACCAATTGGAAAAGTGTGTTTCACACTGTCCTCTAAATGAGTGATAATTAAAGATATCGAAGTAAATGCCTTTCATTTGGCAATCAAAATGTTGGGAGCTGACTGGTTGTGCAAAAGAGATGTTCTATTTAACCAGATTTCAAAGAGAATTAAATGAATCAGCCATACTTTCCAGTTGAAGGATAAAATAAATTTAGATTTTTTTTTTCCCTTGCACCTCATTTCAAATCAACGGTATTCTTTCAGTAGATTGAACTTTTATGTTACCTATTGGAGGTTGCATTGTATTAATGTATCTTATCTTGGTATGGATTATTCTCCCTGCATACCCTCTTATTCTGAATAAAAAACATATTAGGGATTAAATTATTTACACTTATTTTTCTTAGGGAAATCAAGTAATACTCATAATTTTCAAAAGTTAAATATCCTGATTTATTTTTCCAGAACCCCTTCTTTTAATAGAGAATTTTTTAAAAAAAATTCTTATCTATTATGTAATGTTCCTGAAGTTATTTGGGTGAATAATCAAGCCTATATAGTCCTGTGAGATGTATGCTACCCAAGAAATGCAAAGGTTGAAAAACAAAATAACTTTTCTGTTATTTATCAAGATCTTACTCTGTTTTCCCTAACCGTATTCTGTTTAGCACTAATTATCTAGATGGCCAAGGGTTACAGATTGATGGCTTTAGTGTTAAATTGTTTTTGTAACAATATTCAAACAGTTACTGAGCTTTCATTACGTGTCAAGCCCTTTATTGTGCTGGATGCACAGAGAGGTAAGACCTGTGTACTTCCTGCCCTTGAGCATCTCCCTCGTGTGCACTTGTCTTGAATGCTTTGACCCACGTTTTCGTTTGGAAAAGCCCCAATTTTGGCCCCACAGTCAGTCATTTCCAGATTCACAGTCAAGGTGAATTCAGCTCATTTGCTGCGTGCAATCTTCTGTCATAGTATCTCACATGTAATATCATGCGGACACTCGATAGATACAAAAGTAAGATAAACACATGGAGGTATCTCTAATGACAGAAATAAAAAGGAAATCATTTGTAAATAGTTATAAGGTCTCTGAGTCCCACTAGCTTGCTAATCAATTAAAATACTTACATATTTTAATAATAATATAGCTGCAGTATCTGAATAAATTTAGCAGTAAATGTTTCCAAGCAATGCTAGCTTTTCTTAATTCACTGAATCAAACTGCATGGTGCCTAAACCTATTACATCTGAAATCCAAGACAATTTTATGTAAGGAAGGAGAATTGAGTGTACGACATACCATATCTTGTTTTAAATACATTTCCTTGCAGAATAATTGAATAAGAACCCTTCCTTAGTCCAGATACTAGCAAACCCCATAAAGATCCAGATAGGAAATATTTTGGGGGGCCATATGGCCTCTGTCACAACTACTCAGTTCTGCCATTATAGTTTGAAAGCAGCAATAGGCAACACCTAAATGGATGGAGCTATGTTTCAATAAAACTTTATTTTCAAAAACAGGCAGCTTGTTGAATTTGGCTTGCAGGTCACATACTGACAATTGCCCTATTCTTGTTCTTCAGATTATTTTTCCATGTCCTCATCTCCTTTCAAGCTTCCAAATGCAGGAAGCAGTATTTAATCAAACCTTTCTTCTCTGCCCTAATCATCTCTCACAGAGATGATACACCCACCCATCAGAAAGCTATGCTTCCTACCTTCTTGATCATTGAGACATGTGTCCTTCAAGTAAAGATCTGCTGGTGGTAGATCCATTATAGTCAGTGATAGAATTGGATATTGACTATAACCCTAAAAGAAAAATTTCCTTGCTATCTTTATATTTCAAGTGGCTTTTATTTGTTTTTGCTTAAATTATACTTCCTTCTACATTTTTCTACTTCATTTTCCAGGTATCACAGCCATAGTCAGAAAATTATTTACAATTTAGTCAGTCAAGTCTTACACAATTAGATCAGATTGACATGTTTAATAGTTTTAGATTTCAAGTGATTATGAAGTCATATATATAGGTCATAGTGAGTCAAAATAGTTTAACTTCCTTCCAGTTACATCCAGTTCTGTTATTTGTCATGATCTTATCCCCATTACATGATTTAATAAAGCATACCAGTATCAATCATTAAGTGTGTAGGCCTATCAAGCCAAGGAAAAAACTGAGACAAATGAACAGATAATTCAAACTTAAAGATAATGTTAAGTAGAGTATCATTCTAATATTTTTCAGAAATATTTCAAAATCTAATGTTTTTCAAATTTATGAATTTTGGAAAAATTCATAAACATAATTAAAATACCTCAATTTATTCTATGTAATATATGCATTACTTCAAACGAGGGATATCTTCCATCCCAACAGAGACAACTTGTCAGATATTTTAATTGGAATACACCTGTTTACATGGTTTGTTTTGACTTTGTATCTCATCTCCATTCCACTATTATTTCAATAAGGTATGTATTTTCTGTGAATAGCAATCTTGTTTATGGAAATGATATGAATATATATATAAACATGGAGGTTCTTCATCACTTCCAGTCCACAGAGTGTTTTTCTTGGGGAAAAAAATCACCAAATTTCTTATAGTTAATTATACAGAAAAACAGTAAATATCTAGTCTAAGACTTAGGCTTAGCAACTTTTTCAGTTTATATATCATAAATATAAAATATAAACTGCCCATATTAAGATGCTGTTTATAATTGTAATGATAACATTAATGTCAGCATGTTAAGGAATTATATATTTTAAATTTGCAAAATTAATATTTAGTTAACGTAGCAAAACGAAGTTGTCTTTTTTGTAAACATATAGTCAAGAAAATGTTGATTCACTGATGCTGTTAATGACAATGAACACTAGATTCTCTGTAGAGCTATGATTTTTTTATGTTTAATAACCCACCATTTATGCAGTTGGAGGTACTATTTACATGATGTGAAAAATATTCCACCTTCCAGCTCAGTAGCAAAAAAGCCTATGTGCATGGACACTAGAGGTCCACCTCAGCCGTTAGCCACTCTCCTCAAACAGACCAACAACTGGGAACAGAAGTTACAGAGTGGGCTCTCTTTCATCAGCAAGGGAATGCCAGATTTAAATCTGTGTTGTGTCTCTGGCACAGTTGCACAAATTTTACTCTCCACTAGGCAGGCAGATGGAAATTCCAGAAATCAAGAGCAGAAGAGAAGTTACACAGTTAGAAACTGACAAACCTGTATTAGATAGGTTTTGACCACTATAACCGACTTTACCTACTATGCCGCAATTCTTTCCCCTGCAAACTCAATTTTAAGATTATAGGTTTAATTAAATATATATTTAATATATTCAAGAGCAAAAAAAGTTGTCATCATCATCATCTTGTCATCAAAATAGTTAACATTTATTGAGTGCTTAGTATGTGCCATGAACTGGGCTAAGTGCTCAACACTCTTTACCACATTTGTAATTCTCTCTGTGGTGATAATGAACTAAATCATCCTAATTTTACAAATGAGAAAACCTGGCTAAAGAAGTTAAGTGACTTAGCCAGTACCATGCATTATGAGACGAAGGGCTAAAATTTGGACCCAGGCAGTGTGACTGCAGAGGCCAGACTCCAAACTCTTATTCAAAGCGTCTCCTATAAATTTAGCATTTCTCACCTGTAATGGTCCAAACAAGCCTTTGAGATACATCACTGGAGAAGAATAAGGGATTCCTCAAGAACAGGTCCCCCCTGCTTCTTCTAGTGTTGCTTCATGCAGGACACCCTGCAATGGGGCACTGTGGATGGCTGCTGCCCATGTTCCAAGCCACCGCCCTATTGCCCAGAGTGGCCCTGGACATCACGGTCGCCAGGAGCAAGACCTGAAAGAAGAGGAATCCTTATTGTGTCGCTCTTAACATAGAAAAGTGGGCACTTCTTTGGAGCAGCAGAGGCAGCACACAGCTCTATATTTTAAAGAACAATGGGCCTCACTCAATACTTTTTAAATTTTATCTGCAGGCAGGGCAAACAGAGCAAGTTTCGACTCTAGGTAGCAGCAGAAAGAATTTAGCCTGATTTTTCCTGACAGATACCAAATCCATGATAGATGTAACACTTAGCAATGTATTAAGAAATCCTAAAGCTGCTAACTAGAAATGTAACTGTCACTATTCATAAAGAAAGAGAAAAATTTTTAATAAAAAAGTACAAAATGTAGAGTTGAACAGCTGTGACTTTTGTATAAATAATGGTTTTCTCTCCTCTTTTGTGAAATTATGTCTGCTGGGTACATTTTGGTTTTAATGGCAGTTACACAATTTGCTTAACTAGCTGCGGGTCCAGAAGACACAATTTCCTGGGACAGTTTTCATGCGAAACTGCCTCCGCTGGCACAGACAGAGAAGCAAACCATATAACTATAGTTAAAATGATAGTGGGGACTGGCAGATGTGATTTTCATGTAAAGGTTTTACAAGTTTTTTATGTGATGTCACATATCTGCTACTATAAAACATTACTTGTGTGCAATTCCAGAAAGTATGAAAAATACTGCATAATATCTTCAATGTAACATTTAATGTAAAAGGAAATCACATTCATTTCATGGTTAATGGTGTCTGCCCTGATGTGGCAAGTTGGAAAGTGGTTAGAGAGGACTTTACCTCAATATCCTAGCTTAAGAATGCTTCTCTCCTCCATGCCTTTGAGTACTTTTCTAAATTTTTCAAGAAAAATATTTCCTAACTTAAGAATTTTTAAAAATTCAGTATACATGTAAAACATTTCCAGTTAAAAATAAACA